ACTCACTCACTCACCCACTGAGTGACTCACCCACTCATCCACTCACTCACTCACTGAGTAACTCACTCAGTGAGTGAGTCACTCACTCACCCACTGAGTGACTCACCCACTCACTGAGTGACTCACTCAGTGGGTCACTCACTCACCCACTCACTCAGTCAGTCACTCAGCCACCAACTCACTCACTCACTCACCCACCCACTCACCCACTCACTCAGCCACCTACTCACTCACTCACCCACTCACTCACCCACTCAGTGACTCACTCAGTGGGTCACTCACTCACCCACTCACTCAATCAGTCACTCACTCACACACTCACTCACCCACTGAGTGACTCACTCACTCACCCAGTCACTCACCCACTGAGTGACTCACTCACCCACTGAGTGACTCACTCACTCAGTCACTCACCCACTCACTCACTGAGTGACTCACTCACTCACTCAGTCACTGAGTGACTCACTCACTCACCCATTCACTCACTCACCTAGCATCATTATCAAGATCATCATCACCATCACCACCTCACTTGCTCAATAAACTATGGATTGTATCCATGTCTATCTGTGTGTGTGTGTCTGTCTCTGTGTGTGTCTGTGTGTCTGTGTGTATGTGTGTCTGTGTGTGTCTGTGTGTGATGTAATTAGACCACACAGCTGATTTTATTCAGAGTGAAATGTATTTGAGAGTGAATTGTATTTGACAGACTGAGTGTTCACAACATCAACAAAGTCACAGCAGCAGATGGAATCAACAACTACCACAACTAACTACCACACCCACCACAACTACCACTACTACCACAACAACACAACTACCACAACAACACAACCACCACAACTAAACTACCACCACAACTACCACACCCACCATAACCACCACAACTACCACAACCACCACCACACCCACCATACCCACCACACTCACAACAACTACCACACCCACACCCACCACACCCACACCCACCACAACCACCATAACCACCACACTCACCACAACCACCACACCCACAACCACCACAACTACCACAACCACCACAACCACCATAACCACCACACTCACCACAACCACCATAACCACCACACCCACCACACTCACCACACCCACAACCACCACAACTACCACACTCACCACACCCACCACACTCACCACAACCACCACAACCACCACAACTACCACAACCACCACAACCACCACAACCACCATAACCACCATAACCACCACACTCACCACAGCCACAACCACCACAACTACCACCACCACCACAACCACCACAACCACCACAACCACCACACTCACCACAACTACCACACCCACCACCACACTCACCACACTCACCACACTCACCACAACCACCACAACCACCACAACCACCACACTCACCACACTCACCACAACCACCACAACCACCACAACCACCACAACCACCACACCCACCACAACCACCACAACCACCACACTCACCACAACCACCACACTCACCACACCCACCACACCCACCACACTCACCACACTCACCACAACCACCACACTCACCACACCCACCACACCCACCACACTCACCACACTCACCACAACCACCACAGCCACCACACCCACCACAACCACAACTACCACAACCACCACAACAACCACTACAACTACCACAACCACCACAACAACCACCACACTCACCACACCCACCACAACCACCACAACCACCATAACCACCACACTCACCACACCCACCACAACCACCACAACCACCATAACCACCACACTCACCACAACCACCACAACCACCACAACTACCACAACCACCACACTCACCACAACCACCACACTCACCACAACCACCACACTCACCACAACCACCACAACCACCATAACTACTGCAGCAGTAAGGAATGGAATCTGGACCTGTAGCTCCTCCCCCCCCTGCATTAGGCCCCTCCCACAGGCCCATGTAGGGTGTACAGTGTCGTCTGTAGTGTACAGTGTAGTCTAGTGTACAGTGTAGGGCTACAGTGTACAGTGTAGGCCTGCAGTGTACAGTGCGGGCCTGCGGTGTACAGTGCAGGTCTACAATATACAGGGTCTACGGTGTACAGTGTGTGCTGGTGTAGTGTGTGCTGGTGTACAGTGTAGGGTCTACGGTGTACAGTGTGTGCTGGTGTACAGTGTGTGCTGGTGTACAGTGTGCTTGTGTACAGTGTGTGCTGGTGTGTAGTGTGCTGGTGTACAGTGTGTGCTGGTGTGTAGTGTGCTGGTGTACAGTGTAGGGTCTACGGTGTACAGTGTGTGCTGGTGTACAGTGTGTGCTGGTGTACAGTGTGCTTGTGTACAGTGTGTGCTGGTGTGTAGTGTGCTGGTGTACAGTGTGTGCTGGTGTGTAGTGTGTGCTGGTGTACAGTGTAGGGTCTACGGTGTACAGTGTGTGCTGGTGTACAGTGTGTGCTGGTGTACAGTGTGCTGGTGTACAGTGTGTGCTGGTGTAGTGTGTGCTGGTGTACAGTGTAGGGTCTACGGTGTACAGTGTGTGCTGGTGTACAGTGTGCTGGTGTACAGTGTGTGCTGGTGTACAGTGTGTGCTGGTGTATAGTGTAGGGTCTACGGTGTACAGTGTGTGCTGGTGTACAGTGTGTGCTGGTGTACAGTGTGTGCTGGTGTACAGTGTGTGCTGGTGTACAGTGTGTGCTGGTGTACAGTGTGTGCTGGTGTACAGTGTAGGGTCTACGGTGTACAGTGTGTGCTGGTGTACAGTGTGTGCTGGTGTACAGTGTAGGGTCTACGGTGTACAGTGTGTGTTGGTGTACAGCGTGTGCTGGTGTACAGTGCGTGCTGGTGTACAGTGTGTGCTGGTGTACAGTGTGTGCTGGTGTAGTGTGTGCTGGTGTACAGTGTAGGGTCTACGGTGTACAGTGTGTGTTGGTGTACAGCGTGTGCTGGTGTACAGTGCGTGCTGGTGTACAGTGTGTGCTGGTGTACAGTGCGTGCTGGTGTACAGTGCGTGCTGGTGTACAGTGCGTGCTGGTGTAGTGCGTGCTGGTGTACAGTGTGTGCTGGTGTACAGTGTGTGCGGGTGTACAGTGCGTGCTGGTGTACAGTGCGTGCTGGTGTACAGTGTGTGCTGGTGTACAGTGCGTGCTGGTGTACAGTGCGTGCTGGTGTACAGTGCGTGCTGGTGTACAGTGCGTGCTGGTGTACAGTGCGTGCTGGTGTACAGTGCGTGCAGTGCAGGCGTGCGGCGTACAGTGCGAGCGGCGTGCGGGGGCGTGTTGTACAGTGCACGCGTAGTACAGTGCACGTGCACAGTGCGCGTGTACAGTGCGGGGCCTAGGCGAGATGTAGAATCATATTGCTGGGTTCTTCGAGCAGAAACTTCCACGCGTTGGAGAATCGAGAAACGGTGGCTCCATCAAGCACCCGGTGATCAGCACTCCAGCTCACCTGGTAACCACACACAGCGCTAGTTAGTGTACTAGTTAGTGTACTAGTTAGTGTACTAGTTAGTGTGCTAGTTAGTGTACTAGTTAGTCTACTAGTTAGTGTACTAGTTAGTGTGCTAGTTAGTGTACTAGTGTACTAGTTAGTGTACTAGTTAGTGTACTAGTTAGTCTACTAGTTAGTGTGCTAGTTAGTGAACTAGTTAGTGTACTAGTTAGTGTACTAGTTAGTGTACTAATTAGTGTGCTAGTTAGTGTACTAGTTAGTGTACTAGTTAGTGAACTAGTTAGTGTACTAGTTAGTGTACTAGTTAGTGTACTAGTGTACTAGTTAGTCTACTAGTTAGTCTACTAGTTAGTGTACTAGTTAGTCTACTAGTTAGTCTACTAGTTAGTGTACTAGTTAGTGTACTAGTTAGTCTACTAGTGTACTAGTTAGTGTACTAGTTAGTGTACTAGTTAGTGTACTAGTTAGTCTACTAGTTAGTCTACTAGTTAGTCTACTAGTTAGTATACTAGTTAGTATACTAGTTAGTGTACTAGTTTGTGTACTAGTTTGTGTACTAGTTTGTGTACTAGTTTGTCTACTAGTTTGTCTACTAGTTTGTCTACTAGTTTGTCTACTAGTGTACTAGTTAGTCTACTAGTGTACTAGTTAGTGCACTAGTTCGTGTACTAGTTAGTGCACTAGTTAGTGTACTAGTTAGTGCACTATTTAGTCTACTAGTTAGTCTACTAGTTAGTCTACTAGTTAGTATACTAGTTAGTGTACTAGTTAGTTAGTGTACTAGTTAGTGGAGAATCGAGAAACGGTGGCTCCATCAAGCACCCGGTGATCAGCACTCCAGCTCACCTGGTAACCACACACAGCGCTAGTTAGTGTACTAGTTAGTCTACTAGTTAGTCTACTAGTTAGTGTGCTAGTTAGTGTACTAGTTAGTCTACTAGTTAGTGTACTAGTTAGTGTGCTAGTTAGTGTACTAGTGTACTAGTTAGTGTACTAGTTAGTGTACTAGTTAGTCTACTAGTTAGTGTGCTAGTTAGTGAACTAGTTAGTGTACTAGTTAGTGTACTAGTTAGTGTACTAATTAGTGTGCTAGTTAGTGTACTAGTTAGTGTACTAGTTAGTGAACTAGTTAGTGTACTAGTTAGTGTACTAGTTAGTGTACTAGTGTACTAGTTAGTCTACTAGTTAGTGTACTAGTTAGTCTACTAGTTAGTCTACTAGTTAGTGTACTAGTTAGTGTACTAGTTAGTCTACTAGTGTACTAGTTAGTGTACTAGTTAGTGTACTAGTTAGTGTACTAGTTAGTCTACTAGTTAGTCTACTAGTTAGTATACTAGTTAGTATACTAGTTAGTATACTAGTTAGTGTACTAGTTTGTGTACTAGTTTGTGTACTAGTTTGTGTACTAGTTTGTCTACTAGTTTGTCTACTAGTGTACTAGTTAGTCTACTAGTGTACTAGTTAGTGCACTAGTTCGTGTACTAGTTAGTGCACTAGTTAGTGTACTAGTTAGTGCACTATTTAGTCTACTAGTTAGTCTACTAGTTAGTCTACTAGTTAGTATACTAGTTAGTGTACTAGTTAGTTAGTGTACTAGTTAGTGGAGAATCGAGAAACGGTGGCTCCATCAAGCACCCGGTGATCAGCACTCCAGCTCACCTGGTAACCACACACAGCGCTAGTTAGTGTACTAGTTAGTCTACTAGTTAGTCTACTAGTTAGTCTACTAGTGTACTAGTTAGTCTACTAGTTAGTGTGCTAGTTAGTGTGCTAGTTAGTGTACTAGTGTACTAGTTAGTGTACTAGTTGGTCTACTAGTTGGTCTACTAGTTGGTCTACTAGTTGGTCTACTAGTTAGTGTACTAGTTAGTGTACTAGTTAGTGTACTAGAAAGTCTACTAGTTAGTGTACTAGTGTACTAGTTAGTCTACTAGTTAGTCTACTAGTGTACTAGTTAGTCTACTAGTTAGTCTACTAGTGTACTAGTTAGTCTACTAGTTAGTCTACTAGTTAGTGTACTAGTTAGTGTACTAGTTAGTCTACTAGTTAGTGTACTAGTTAGTGTACTAGTTTGTCTACTAGTTTGTCTACTAATTTGTCTACTAGTTAGTGTACTAGTTAGTGTACTAGTTAGTCTACTAGTTAGTGTACTAGTGTACTAGTTAGTGTACTAGTTAGTCTACTAGTTAGTGTACTAGTGTACTGGTTAGTCTACTAGTTAGTCTACTAGTTAGTGTGCTAGTTAGTGTACTAGTTAGTCTACTAGTTAGACTACTAGTTAGTCTACTAGTTAGTGTACTAGTTAGTGTACTAGTATACTAGTTAGTGTACTAGTGTACTAGTTAGTCTACTAGTTAGTGTACTAGTTAGTCTACTTGTTCGTGTCCTAGTTAGTTTACTAGTTAGTGTACTAGTTAGTGTACTAGTTAGTGTACTAGTAACCAGGGCAACGTGGTAACCACGGCAACGTGGTAACCACGGCAACGGTCCCTCACCTTCATGATGTGAGCTGCTACCACCTCACCACGCTCATTGAACCTGGGCAGCACCTGGGGTCAGGCAGAGGTCACGGGGAGGTCACGGGGTCATGGAGAGTGAGTAGCGTGTTGTTAGTGTGTTGTTAGCGTGTTGTTAGCGTGGTGAGTAGCGTGTTGTTAGCGTGTTGTTAGCGTGTTGTTAGCGTGTTGTTAACGTGGTGTTAGCGTGTTGTTAGCGTGTTGTTAGCGTGTTGTTAGCGTGGTGTTAGCGTGTTGTTAACGTGTTGTTAGCGTGTTGTTAGCGTGTTGTTAGCGTGGTGAGTAGCGTGTTGTTAGCGTGTTGTTAGCGTGTTGTTAGCGTGTTGTTAGTGTGGTGTTAGCGTGTTGTTAGTGTGTTGTTAGCGTGTTGTTAGCGTGTTGTTAGAGTGTTGTTAGTGTGGTGTTAGTGTGTTGTTAGTGTGTTGTTAGTGTGGTGTTAGTGTGTTGTTAGCGTGTTGTTAGCGTGTTGTTAGCGTGTTGTTAGAGTGTTGTTAGCGTGGTGTTAGTGTGTTGTTAGCGTGTTGTTAGTGTGGTGTTAGTGTGTTGTTAGCGTGTTGTTAGCGTGTTGTTAGTGTGTTGTTAGCGTGTTGTTAGTGTGGTGTTAGTGTGTTGTTAGCGTGTTGTTAGTGTGGTGTTAGCGTGTTGTTAGCGTGTTGTTAGTGTGGTGTTAGCGTGTTGTTAGCGTGGTGTTAGCGTGTTGTTAGCGTGTTGTTAGCGTGTTGTTAGTGTGGTGTTAGTGTGTTGTTAGTGTGTTGTTAGCGTGGTGTTAGTGTGGTGTTAGTGTGTTGTTAGTGTGTTGTTAGTGTGGTGTTAGCGTGTTGTTAGCGTGTTGTTAGCGTGTTGTTAGTGTGGTGTTAGCGTGTTGTTAGTGTGTTGTTAGTGTGGTGTTAGCGTGTTGTTAGTGTGTTGTTAGCGTGTTGTTAGCGTGTTGTTGGCGTGTTGTTAGCGTGTTGTTAGTGTGGTGAGTAGTGTGTTGTTAGCGTGTTGTTGGCGTGTTGTTAGCGTGTTGTTAGTGTGGTGTTAGTGTGTTGTTAGCGTGTTGTTAGCGTGTTGTTAGTGTGTTGTTAGCGTGTTGTTAGTGTGGTGTTAGTGTGTTGTTAGCGTGTTGTTAGTGTGGTGTTAGTGTGTTGTTAGCGTGTTGTTGGCGTGTTGTTAGCGTGTTGTTGGCGTGTTGTTAGCGTGTTGTTAGCGTGTTGTTAGCGTGTTGTTGGCGTGTTGTTGGCGTGTTGTTAGCGTGTTGTTAGCGTGTTGTTAGCGTGTTGTTAGCGTGTTGTTAGCGTGTTGTTGGCGTGTTGTTGGCGTGTTGTTAGCGTGTTGTTAGTGTGTTGTTAGCGTGTTGTTGGCGTGTTGTTAGCGTGTTGTTAGCGTGTTGTTAGCGTGTTGTTAGCGTGTTGTTAGCGTGTTGTTAGTATGTTGTTAGTATGTTGTTAGCGTGTTGTTAGTGTGTTGTTAGCGTGTTGTTAGCGTGTTGTTAGCGTGTTGTTAGTGTGTTGTTAGCGTGTTGTTAGTGTGTTGTTAGTGTGTTGTTAGCGTGTTGTTAGTGTGTTGTTAGCGTGTTGTTAGTGTGTTGTTAGTGTGTTGTTAGCGTGTTGTTGGCGTGTTGTTAGCGTGTTGTTAGCGTGTTGTTAGCGTGTTGTTAGCGTGTTGTTGGCGTGTTGTTAGTGTGGTGAGTAGCGTGTTGTTAGTGTGTTGTTAGCGTGTTGTTAGTGTGGTGTTAGTGTGTTGTTAGCGTGTTGTTAGCGTGTTCTTAGTGTGGTGTTAGCGTGTTGTTGGCGTGTTGTTAGCGTGTTGTTAGTGTGTTGTTAGCGTGGTGAGTAGCGTGTTGTTGGCGTGTTGTTAGTGTGTTGTTAGTGTGTTGTTAGTGTGTTGTTAGCGTGTTGTTAGCGTGTTGTTAGCGTGGTGAGTAGCGTGTTGTTGGCGTGTTGTTAGTGTGTTGTTAGTGTGTTGTTAGCGTGTTGTTAGCGTGTTGTTAGTGTGGTGTTAGTGTGTTGTTGGCGTGTTGTTGGCGTGTTGTTAGCGTGGTGAGTAGCGTGTTGTTAGCGTGTTGTTAGCGTGTTGTTGGCGTGTTGTTGGCGTGTTGTTAGCGTGTTGTTAGTATGTTGTTAGTGTGTTGTTAGCGTGTTGTTAGCATGTTGTTAGCGTGTTGTTGGCGTGTTGTCACCTGAATCTTGCCAAGAGCTCCAATGGCCACCTCTGGTGTGAGGATGACCGGGTGAGTATACGTGCCTCCAATCTGGAGTGGTGAGCACACAAACACGCTCACCACTCACTCACCAACTCACCACTCACTCACCAACTCACCACTCACTCACCAACTCACTCACCAACTCACTCACTCACTCACCAACTCACCAACTCACTCACCAACTCACTCACCAACTCACTCACCAACTCACTCACCAGCTCACTCACCACTCACTCACCAACTCACCAACTCACTCACCAACTCACTCACCAGCTCACTCACCACTCACTCACCAACTCACCACTCACTCACCACTCACTCACCAGCTCACCAACTCACCAACTCACTCAGCAACTCACTCACCAACTCACCAACTCACTCACCACTCACTCACCCACTCACCAACTCACTCACCCACTCACCAACTCACTCACCAACTCACTCACCAACTCACTCACCAACTCACTCACCAACTCACTCACTCACCCACTCACTCACTCACTTACCCACTCACTCACCAACCCACTCACTCACCAACTCACTCACCAACTCACTCACCAACTCACTCACCAACTCACCACTCACTCACCACTCACTTACCAGCTCACTCACCCACTCACTCACCAACTCACTCACCAACTCACCAACTCACTCACCAACTCACTCACCAACTCACTCACCAACTCACCAACTCACTCACCAACTCACTCACTCACCCACTCACTCACTCACTTACCCACTCACTCACCAACCCACTCACTCACCAACCCACTCACTCACCAACTCACTCACCAACTCACTCACCAACTCACCAACTCACTCACCAACTCACCAACTCAGTCACCAACTCAGTCACCAACTCACTCACCAACTCACTCACCAACTCACCAACTCACTCACCAACTCACCAACTCACCAACTCAGTCACCAACTCACTTACCAACTCACCAACTCACTCACCAACACACTCACCAACACACTCACCAACTCACCAACTCACTCACCAACTCACTCACCAACTCACTCACTCACTCACCAACTCACTCACCAACTCACCTACTCACTCACTCACTCACCAACTCACCAACTCACTCACCAACTCACCAACTCACTCACCAACTCACCAAATCACCAACTCACTCACCAACTCACCAAATCACTCACCAAATCACTCACCAACTCACTCACCAACTCACTCACCAACTCACTCACTCACTCACCAACTCACTCACCAACTCACCTACTCACTCACTCACTCACCAACTCACCAACTCACTCACCAACTCACCAACTCACTCACCAACTCACCAAATCACCAACTCACTCACCAACTCACCAAATCACTCACCAAATCACTCACCAACTCACTCACCAACTCACCAAATCACCAACTCACTCACCAACTCACCAACTCACTCACCAACTCACCAACTCACTCACCAACTCACTCACTCACTCACCCACCCCTCTCTCTCTGTGTCTCCGTGTCTCTGTGTCTCTCTGTGTCTCTGTGTCTCTGTCTGTCTCTCTACCCCCTGTCTCTCTCTGTCTCTCTTTGTCTGTGTCTATCTGTCTCTATCTGTCTGTCTCTGTATGTCTCTCTGTGTCTGTCTCTCTGTCTCTGTCTCTCTCTGTCTGTCTCTGTCTCTGTCTCTCTGTCTGTCTCTCTGTCTCTGTGTTTGTCTCTGTCTGTCTCTCTGACTGTCTCTCTGTCTCTCTGTCTGTCTGTGTCTCTCTGTCTCTGTGTTTGTCTCTGTCTGTCTCTCTGACTGTCTCTCTGTCTCTCTGTCTGTCTGTGTCTCTCTGTCTGTCTGTGTCTCTGTCTCTCTGTCTCTGTGTTTGTCTCTGTCTATCTCTCTGTCTCTCTGACTGTCTCTGTGTCTCTCTCTCACTCTTTCTCTGTCTCTCTCTCTGTCTCTCTGTCTCTGTGTTTGTCTCTGTCTCTCTCTCTGTCTCTCTGTCTCTGTGTTTGTCTCTGTCTCTCTCTCTGTCTCTCTGTCTCTGTGTTTGTCTCTGTCTCTCTCTCTCACTCTCTCTCTGTCTCTCTGTCTCTGTGTCTCTCTGTCTCTGTCTGTGTGTCTCTGTGTCTCTCTTGCACTCTCTCTCTGTCTGTCTCTCTCTGTCTCTCTGTCTCTCTGTCTCTCTCTGTCTCTCTGTCTCTCTCTGTGTCTCACCGATCCCACGTTAGACAGGGTGAACGTTCCCCCGCTCAGCTGTGCAGCGCTGAGCGAGCCGGCGGTCCCGATGGCCTGCAGGCGGGACAGTTCAGCGGCGATGGACAGCAAGGGCATACGCTCGATCCCACGCAGGACTGGCACCAGCAAGCCATTTGGTGTGTCCATCGCCACGCCAATATCATGGGACGCCTGGTGGGAGGGAGGGGGAGTGGGGGGGTGAGTGGGGGGGTGAGTGGGGGGGTGGGTGGGGGGGTGAGTGGGGGGGTGGGTGGGGGGGTGGGTGAGTGGGTGAGTGGGGGGGTGAGTGAGTGGGTGAGTGAGTGGGTGAGTGAGTCACCTTATAAGTGGGTGAGTGAGTGGGTGAGTGAGTGAGTGAGTGACCTTATAAGTGAGTGAGTGAGTGAGTGGGTGAGTGGGTGAGTGGGTGAGTGAGTGGGTGGGTGGGTGGGTGAGTGAGTGGGTGAGTGAGTGAGTGGGTGGGTGGGTGAGTGAGTGGGTGAGTGAGTGGGTGAGTGAGTGGGTGGGTGAGTGGGTGAGTGGGTGAGTGAGTGGGTGAGTGAGTGAGTGGGTGGGTGAGTGAGTGGGTCAGTGGGTGAGTGGGTGGGTGGGTGAGTGAGTGGGTGAGTGAGTGGGTGAGTGAGTGGGTGGGTGAGTGAGTGAGTGGGTGAGTGAGTGGGTGAGTGGGTGAGTGGGTGAGTGAGTGAGTCACCTTATAAGTGAGTGAGTGAGTGTATGAGTGAGTGAGTCACCTTATAAGTGAGTGAGTGAGTCACCTTATAAGTGAGTGAGTGTGTGAGTCACCTTATAAGTGAGTGAGTGAGTGTATGAGTGTGTGTATGAGTGAGTTTTGTGTGTGTATGAGTGTATAAGTGAGTGAGTGAGTCACCTTATAAGTGAGTGAGTGTATGAGTGTGTGTATGAGTGAGTGAGTGAATGAGTGAGTGTATGAGTGAGTGTGTGTATGAGTGAGTGTGTGTATGAGTGTATAAGTGAGTGAGTGTGTGAGTCACCTTATAAGTGAGTGAGTGTATGAGTGTATGAGTGAGTGAGTGAATGAGTGAGTGTATGAGTGAGTGTGTGTATGAGTGTATAAGTGAGTGAGTGTGTGTATGAGTGCATAAGTGAGTGAGTGAGTGTATGAGTGTGTGTATGAGTGTATGAGTGAGTGTGTGTATGTGTGTATGAGTGAGTGTGTGTATGAGTGTATAAGTGAGTGTGTGTATGAGTGTATAAGTGAGTGTATAAGTGAGTGAGTGAGTGACCTTATAAGTGAGTGAGTGAGTGACCTTATAAGTGAGTGATTCACAGCGATCATCCAGATGAGCGTTCAAGGCTGGGAACTCGAAGAGTGCCAAAGACAATGCCTAAAGAGTCAACAACAACAACATCAACAACAACAACATCAACAACATCAACACCATCATCAACACCATCAACAACATCAACAATAACAACAACAACAACATCAACATCAACAATATCCACAACAACAACATCAACAACATCATCAACAACAACAACAACAACATCAACAACATCAACAACAATAACAACATCAACATCATCAACAACATCAACAACATCATCAACAACAACATCAACAACAACAACATCATCAACAACAACATCAACAACATCATCAACATCATCAACAACAACAATATCCACAACAACATCAACATCATCAACAACATCAACATCAACAACAACATCAACAACAACATCAACATCATCAACAACATCATCAACAACATCAACAACAACATCAACAACAACAATATCCACAACAACATCAACAACATCTCCCTGTGTCTCTCTCTCCCCGTGTCTCTCTCTCCCCGTGTCTCTCTCTCCCCGTGTCTCTCTCTCCCCGTGTCTCTCTCTCTCCCCGTGTCTCTCTCTCTCCCCGTGTCTCTCTCTCTCCCCGTGTCTCTCTCTCTCCCCGTGTCTCTCTCTCCCCGTGTCTCTCTCTCCCCGTGTCTCTCTCTCCCCGTGTCTCTCTCTCCCCGTGTCTCTCTCTCTCCCCGTGTCTCTCTCTCCCCGTGTCTCTCTCTCCCTGTGTCTCTCTCTCCCCGTGTCTCTCTCCCCGTGTCTCTCTCTCTCCCCGTGTCTCTCTCTCCCCATGTCTCTCTCTCTCCCCGTGTCTCTCTCTCCCCGTGTCTCTCTCTCCCCGTGTCTCTCTCTCTCTCCGTGTCTCTCTCTCCCCGTGTCTCTCTCTCCCCGTGTCTCCCCGTGTCTCTCTCTCCCCGTGTCTCTCTCTCCCTGTGTCTCTCTCTCTCCCCATGTCTCTCTCTCCCGTGTCTCTCTCTCTCCCCGTGTCTCCCCGTGTCTCTCTCTCTCCCCGTGTCTCTCTCTCTCCCCGTGTCTCTCTCCCTGTGTCTCTCTCTCTCCCCGTGTCTCTTTCTCTCTCCGTGTCTCCCCGTGTCTCTCTCTCCCCGTGTCTCTCTCTCCCCGTGTCTCTCTCTCTCTCCCCGTGTCTCTCTCTCTCCCCGTGTCTCTCTCTCCCCGTGTCTCTCTCTCTCCCCGTGTCTCTCTCTCCCCGTGTCTCTCTCTCCCCGTGTCTCTCTCTCCCCGTGTCTCCCCGTGTCTCTCTCCCCGTGTCTCTCTCTCCGTGTCTCTCCCCGTGTCTCTCTCTCTCTCCCCGTGTCTCTCCCCGTGTCTCTCTCTCTCTCCCCGTGTCTCTCTCTCCCCGTGTATCCCTCTCTCCCCGTGTCTCCCCGTGTCTCTCTCTCTCCCCGTGTCTCTCTCTCTCCCCGTGTCTCCCCGTGTCTCTCTCTCTCCCCGTGTCTCTCTCTCCCCGTGTCTATCTCTCTCCCCGTGTCTCTCTCTCCCGGTGTCTCTCTCTCCCGGTGTCTCTCCCCGTGTCTCTCTCTCCCCGTGTCTCTCTCTCTCCTCGTGTCTCTCTCTCCCCGTGTCTCTCTCTCTCCCCGTGTCTCTCTCTCTCCCCGTGTCTCTCTCTCTCCCCGTGTCTCTCTCTCCCTGTGTCTCTCTCTCCCCGTGTCTCTCTCTCCCCGTGTCTCTCTCTCTCCCCCTGTCTCTCTCTCTCCCCGTGTCTCTCTCTCCCCGTGTCTCTCTCTCTCCCCGTGTCTCTCTCTCCCCGTGTCTCTCCCCGTGTCTCTCTCTCTCCCCGTGTCTCTCTCTCTCCCCGTGTCTCTCTCTCTCCCCGTGTCTCTCTCCCTCCCCGTGTCTCTCTCTCTCCCCGTGTCTCTCTCTCCCCGTGTCTCTCTCCCTCTCCGTGTCTCTCTCTCCCCGTGTCTCTCTCTCCCCGTGTCTCCCCGTGTCTCTCTCTCCCCGTGTCTCTCTCTCCCTGTGTCTCTCTCTCTCCCCGTGTCTCTCTCTCCCGTGTCTCTCTCTCTCTCCGTGTCTCCCCGTGTCTCTCTCTCTCTCCCCGTGTCTCTCTCTCTCCCCGTGTCTCTCTCTCTCCCCGTGTCTCTCTCCCTGTGTCTCTCTCTCTCCCCGTGTCTCTCTCTCTCCCCGTGTCTCCCCGTGTCTCTTTCTCCCCGTGTCTCTCTCTCCCCGTGTCTCTCTCTCTCTCCCCGTGTCTCTCTCTCTCCCCGTGTCTCTCTCTCCCCGTGTCTCTCTCTCTCTCCCCGTGTCTCTCTCTCTCTCCCCGTGTCTCTCTCTCCCCATGTCTCTCTCTCCTCGTGACTCTCTCTCCCCGTGTCTCCCCGTGTCTCTCTCCCCGTGTCTCTCTCTCCGTGTCTCTCCCCGTGTCTCTCTCTCTCTCCCCGTGTCTCTCCCCGTGTCTCTCTCTCTCTCCCCGTGTCTCTCTCTCCCCGTGTCTCCCTCTCTCCCCGTGTCTCCCCGTGTCTCTCTCTCTCCCCGTGTCTCTCTCTCCCGGTGTCTCTCTCTCCCGGTGTCTCTCTCTCCCCGTGTCTCTCTCTCCCCGTGTCTCTCTCTCTCCCCGTGTCTCTCTCTCCCCGTGTCTCTCCCCGTGTCTCTCTCCCCGTGTCTCTCTCTCCCCGTGTCTCTCACCGTGTCTCTCCCCGTGTCTCTCTCCCCGTGTCTCTCTCTCTCCCCGTGTCTCTCTCTCTCCCAGTGTCTCTCTCTCCCCGTGTCTCTCTCTCCCCGTGTCTCTCCCCGTGTCTCTCCCCGTGTCTCTCTCCCCGTGTCTCTCTCTCTCCCCGTGTCTCTCTCTCCCCGTGTCTCTCTCTCCCCGTGTCTCTCTCTCCCCGTGTCTCTCCCCGTGTCTCTCCCCGTGTCTCTCTCCCCGTGTCTCTCTCCCCGTGTCTCTCTCTCCCCGTGTCTCTCTCTCCCCGTGTCTCTCCCCGTGTGTCTCACTCTCCCCGTGTCTCTCTCTCCCCGTGTCTCTCTCTCTCCCCGTGTCTCTCTCTCCCCGTGTCTCTCCCCGTGTCTCTCTCTCCCCGTGTCTCTCTCTCCCCGTGTCTCTCTCTCCCCGTGTCTCTCCCCGTGTCTCTCTCTCTCGCCGTGTCTCTCTCTCTCCCCGTGTCTCTCTCCGTGTCTCTCTCTCTCCCCGTGTCTCTCCCCGTGTGTCTCCCAGTGTCTCTCCCCGTGTCTCTCTCTCTCCCCGTGTCTCTCTCTCTCCCCGTGTCTCTCCCCGTGTCTCTCTCCCCGTGTCTCTCTCTCCCCGTGTCTCTCTCTCCCCGTGTCTCTCTCTCCCCGTGTCTCTCTCCCCGTGTCTCTCCCCGTGTCTCTCCCCGTGTCTCTCTCTCTCCCCGTGTCTCTCTCTCTCTCCCCGTGTCTCTCCCTCCCCGTCTCTCTCCCTCCCCGTGTCTCTCTCTCCCCGTGTCTCTCTCCCCGTGTCTCTCTCTCCCCGTGTCTCTCTCTCCCCGTGTCTCTCTCTCCCCGTGTCTCTCTCTCTCCCCGTGTCTCTCTCTCCCCGTGTCTGTCCCCGTGTCTCTCTCTCCCCGTGTCTCTCTCCCCGTGTCTCTCTCTCCCCGTGTCTCTCCCCGTGTCTCTCTCTCTCTCCGTGTCTCTCTCTCTCTCCACGTGTCTCTCTCCGTGTCTCTCTCTCTCCCCGTGTCTCTCCCCGTGTGTCTCCCAGTGTCTCTCCCCGTGTCTCTCTCTCTACCCGTGTCTCTCTCTCTCCCCGTGTCTCTCCCCGTGTCTCTCTCCCCGTGTCTCTCTCTCCCCGTGTCTCTCTCCCCGTGTCTCTCCCCGTGTCTCTCCCCGTGTCTCTCTCTCTCCCCGTGTCTCTCTCTCTCCCCGTGTCTCTTCCTCCCCGTGTCTCTCTCTCCCCGTGTCTCTCACCCCGTGTCTCTCTCTCCCCGTGTCTCTCTCTCCCCGTGTCTCTCTCTCCCCGTGTCTCTCTCTCCCCGTGTCTCTCTCTCCCCGTGTCTCTCTCTCTCCCCGTGTCTCTCTCTCCCCGTGTCTCTCCCCGTGTCTCTCTCCCCGTGTCTCTCTCTCCCCGTGTCTCTCACCGTGTCTCTCCCCGTGTCTCTCTCCCCGTGTCTCTCTCTCTCCCAGTGTCTCTCTCTCTCCCATGTCTCTCTCTCCCCGTGTCTCTCTCTCCCCGTGTCTCTCCCCGTGTCTCTCCCCGTGTCTCTCTCCCCGTGTCTCTCTCTCTCCCCGTGTCTCTCTCTCTCCCCGTGTCTCTCTCTCCCCGTGTCTCTCTCTCCCCGTGTCTCTCCCCGTGTCTCTCTCCGTGTCTCTCTCCCCGTGTCTCTCTCCCCGTGTCTCTCTCTCCCCGTGTCTCTCTCTCCCCGTGTCTCTCCCCGTGTGTCTCACTCTCCCCGTGTCTCTCTCTCCCCGTGTCTCTCTCTCTCCCCGTGTCTCTCTCTCCCCGTGTCTCTCCCCGTGTCTCTCTCTCCCCGTGTCTCTCTCTCCCCGTGTCTCTCTCTCCCCGTGTCTCTCCCCGTGTCTCTCTCTCTCTCCGTGTCTCTCTCTCTCCCCGTGTCTCTCTCCGTGTCTCTCTCTCTCCCCGTGTCTCTCCCCGTGTGTCTCCCAGTGTCTCTCCCCGTGTCTCTCTCTCCCCGTGTCTCTCTCCCCGTGTCTCTCCCCGTGTCTCTCCCCGTGTCTCTCTCTCTCCCCGTGTCTCTCTCTCTCTCCCCGTGTCTCTCCCTCCCCGTCTCTCTCTCTCCCCGTGTCTCTCTCTCCCCGTGTCTCTCACCCCGTGTCTCTCTCTCCCCGTGTCTCTCTCTCCCCGTGTCTCTCTCTCCCCGTGTCTCTCTCTCTCCCCGTGTCTCTCTCTCCCCGTGTCTCTCCCCGTGTCTCTCTCTCCCCGTGTCTCTCTCCCCGTGTCTCTCTCTCCCCGTGTCTCTCCCCGTGTCTCTCTCTCTCTCCGTGTCTCTCTCTCTCTCCACGTGTCTCTCTCCGTGTCTCTCTCTCTCCCCGTGTCTCTCCCCGTGTGTCTCCCAGTGTCTCTCCCCGTGTCTCTCTCTCTACCCGTGTCTCTCTCTCTCCC